ATAGAAAATATATGAAACAAGAGAGTTTGATTTCGAAAGCTTTCTGTATTCCATCATCATTTGTAATGAATAGGAACAATCAAATCTATTCTTGTCATTGAAAAATATTTGAACAAGTAGATTGATCGTTAGAATTAAAGAGAAGAAAATAATGCATAAAAGGCCAATAAACAACATCGAACAACAAATGTGTAGTTTAAAAGTCGTGTATTCTGAAAAATCCTCTTCAGTGCAGCGACAATCTTTGTCTGGTTTTTAGATATGAGAACTTTTTCTTGATTAGTCAATATTTGCTTAGAGCGATTCAACTTGGAAAAAAATGGTTGAGGTAAAATGTCGTTGTCTTCTATCTACTAGTGTAGGCAGAGAAAAGATTCGACAGAGATGAGAGATAAAGAAGAAGTATAAATGCGAGCGACACGCATTGATATCACTACATGTTTGTCGTCGTGCAACGTAAGACGTTTTTTGTATATTATATTGCAGTTCGGTGGTGGTAAACGGAAGAGCTTGGCAATTAGCAAGGCAATTTCTAATACCATACACACTGGTTTGGCCCATGTGATAGGTTTTCATGGACACTTCAGCCAATGCAGATTTTGTTGAGCTAGAAAATTATAAAATAGAACCGTAAACAGGCGAAATCTATTAGAGCTAGATGTTGACAAATGATCTAAGAGGAACTTTTTACATGTACATCTTTCTCTATTTTTATCTTGATATGGATGAGAAAGATCGATGTAACACTTTTTTTACTCTTTTCTTTTCGGAAGAAAATTAGAAAAAAATTTTAATTTCGTTGCCGAATTTTTTAGAATTTACATATCACCTATCACTTCATTACATTTCGTGCGTACTGTGAATTTCGTTCACTCGATACTTCGTCTATTTATTCAATCACTAAACTCAGGTATGGTATACACTATTCCTCGATAATTTAATGTTCTTTTCTCTTAAAGTATGAACAACTTGCTTGAATCACTTATCAGAATCGGATACTGTATTGAACGGGCACGTGCTAGTAGTTCAACTGGACTTATCCGGTTATATTTAATAAATACGATTGAATTAGTACTCGAAGTGTTGATGAATTTGATCGAATTTGTGCAAAACATGGAGAGCGTCGGCGAAGAAGTGAATGATAGATTCTAATACACATACTATATATTGAAACTAATATTCTTTATTTTTAAATATCCCTGTAATTTTATTTATTAATGAAAATTTCTTAAGACCAGATAATTGACGTGATCATTTATCAATAAACTTTAATTTACGATTAAAACCTTCTATTCTTTTATCTTCTTAATTTGTCACCGACTTACTTTCGATTGTCTTTTGAAAAGCGTTCGTTCGTCTTGATGAATATAGCAGGAATTTTGCCAAAAATAGATAAGCTTGTCGTTCAATTTTTCGAGCGGCGATGAATTTGTGTTGACGAGACTTAAAAAAAGTTAGAAGCGGATTCGATTTTTTTTCAAAAACGATTCATCCCACTGACTGAGCCAAGTATGGTATGCAGTAGACTAGGTGCTGCTCGACGAGCTCCACCAAATGGTGTATGTTTCATCACGATGATTTCAAATTCGAAAATCTCAGATCCTCGTGGGGGACAAATGCCGTCTGTGTAAGGTGGAAGCAGTGATCTGTCAGTTTATATGTTTTTAATGAGTTGGAGTGAGTTTATGCAATTTTTGATGATTTTGAGTGTTTAAGTAATTTCTGATTAATTTTGATGATCTTTTGCAACTAAAGGACTAATTCTCGAGAAAATACTCGCATCTATCCTTAACTGCAACGTTTTTCTGGCATAAAAATCAAGAGAAAACACCTGATCTAGAACACTCTTCACAAAGTATACCTATACCTAAGAAGACTGTATTAAAATTTTAGTTATTTCGAATCATATATGAACAATGAACTGCATATTTTAGTGAGTATTAATATTAATACGTACGGGTTTGTTGATATTGAATTTTTTCATGTAAATCTCTTCATTATTAGTGATGTGTATGTGTGTATTTGTCGGGCGTTTGTGAGGAAATAACTGTGAAGGAAAATGATTCAGAAATAGCAGGTTTACGTCTCACTGGATGTTTATATATTTCTCTAGGTGCTAGAGTCTGCTGGATTGACTAAATGGACTTATATTAACTGGGAGTTAGTAAACATAACTCATCGAGATTCACATTGTGATATAAATGCTTTGTCAGCGTTGTGAAAAACTGGGTGTCAGCATTATGTAAAAAAGTCCCATGACTAACGAATGATTTTGATGATTTGAACTGGTTTTAGTGAGTCTTGTGATTCTTTCAATTTACGTTTGAGTTTTAGCTGATTTAAATCAGTTATTTTTTCGTTGGTTTTCAGTCAACAAGATGCATTCTATTGTTGAAAAAGGGTCTTTTTATGTATCACTGGTAATGAAACTACTTTCACTCAATTGGCAGATCTAACTGAATTTCATTGTTCTTTCTATGTGTTATTTTTAATATAGAATATTTTCATATTCATAAAATAAAAACCTTGATTGAAGTTCTATAATAACTATTTTATGAAATAAACAAGAATGTAAGATTGGAGCCAACATGCAATCAATAATAGTTTCTGGTAAAAAAAACATCTAATATGACTTTCTTGGAAGATATTTGTTTTAATCAGTAAGTGCTATCTTTTCTGATTGAAACAAACAAGAAACTCGTTTATCTTATTTGAACACGCAAATTTCGATTCATTGAAAATTCGATCAAATAACAAAGAATAAAATGGCATATCTAAGAGAATTTTTTTATAAATGTTCACTTGATTGACTATTACGTTAAAAGTCAAATCTATAGAATATTTTCAATTAGACCAATGCTGAAAAATATTTTGAAAAAAAAACATTACATGAAAGATTCAAGTGATATATCCACACACACTAACTCTTACACTGAGAAAAGAACGAAAATTTTTCTAGTCAAATAAAATTAAATTAAAAAATTTTTTTTTCTCAAAAACCAAATTTATTAAACGTATTTATGTTTTTTCTTTGAATGTCTTACAGGTCAGTAATTGTTAAATGAGAATTTTTCATCACAGAACAACTTGTTAAATAAAATCTTCAATCGAGTCTTGAAGTTAAGTATATTTTTAATTTCATGAAATTTTCTTCGTTAAAACTAGAAAAATCGTTGATAAACGTGGAAGAACAGTCACTATTCGAAAAATATCAAGAAAAAACAGTAGGTAAAAAAATGAAGTTTCATTTGAACATTAGAAAATTTGTTGAATCATATAGTTTAAGGTCATTCCATACGTATGCCGTTAAAATAGTATCTTCAACGTTCTTTTTTCCGATCGGTGTACCTCCGAGTGACACATAAAATTGATGTGCTTGTTCCTTATCAACTGACCAAACAATAAAATTTTTTGGATAAAATCTGGTAAGAACATCATTCCATACAATTTTCCATAGCTCACGACCAATACCACGGTGTTGATACGGTTTAAGAATGAACATATGTCCTACTTCACAATCATATGTTTGATCACCAACTGTCCTATTGCATTCAAGTGTCTGCCGACCAGAACACCAACCAATCATATTCTTATCGTCAGTCATAGCAACGTAAAATATAAACGATGAGTTCTTATTGAATCTTGTCGACCAACGTTCCAATCGTTGCTCCATTTCATTGCTATCTGATGGACTTTCTAAAGCATCATCCATTAGTTTGAACATAATGGGAAGATCGGCTAACACAGCACTTCTGATAGTTATCTTTTCTAAATTTGACATAATGATTACTGAGTAGATTTATAAGAAATGAAGAATATTTATAACTAATCAGCAAGAGATACGTGTCACTACTAACACGTCACTATTGACACGTCACCATTATTAACGCAACAGATAACATGCCATATCAATGTGACTATTCTTTCCCTAGTATCACAATTTGCCGAAGGAAGAAACGGCAGTAACCACTTTTGTCGTTCTGTTATTTACGAGCGCACGAAGTCATACAACATCGAATGGCTCCTGGGCTTGCAACGACGTTGTAATCCGTGGTTCAAAGAATGATTCTCAGATTATTTCACCATACCGACTACAAACTCAAATGTCTCATTTTCGACCAGATAGTAACACCCGAAAAAGTCTTCGTTACTGATGCGTTTATCGCGTCGCTCAAACGACACCACGATAACGCAATGATGTCACGAAATATTGACTTTCAAATATGTAGAAAAAAAGAATCTTTTAGAAGAATCATTCAACACAAAATATGGTATTTTTACATGTTGGCACATTTCTACTGTCAAAAGTCCTCTAGTCTACCTGCGTGTGTCACTTCAACACATGAGGGATTTAATAGTTCACTGCCCTTTATCTACATATTAGACGGAATATAATTGAAAACGGAGTTGTACATGTGTGGACAGTTCCTTTGTTAGCAGTGCACAATTATAAGACCACGAGAGAGCCACAGGTCCATTATTTATTTGATGATAATACAACACTACATGCGCTTATGTATCTATATCCCAAGCATTCAAACAAATCCTTTTTGTAATTTATGAAATTCACAATCGATAGCGGAGTCAAAATGTGGGTTCCAATGGCGTCCTCGCAAAGTAGCCTCTTTCGACAAAGTTTGAAAAATCAAAAAGCAAATCTTGCACTATCGACGAGCAGTACAAGAGTATAAGTCAGCAGCGAATTGCGCACAAAAATTCAATAATGCTGCATGATATTCTTCTATGCGTTCTGTTCATTAAAGATACCTATCAGCTGAGTATTGTTTGCGGCACTCAATGTTCACACTTTCTATCATAGAAATGTTGACAGAACAGGGAAAGAATAAAAAGTTGGCTGACATTCTCTTTGCACAAGAAAGTAGCGAGTCATTTTCTGTTGTTATTTGACGACAATACGTTCTTGTGGAAAGTGAACAACGAAGGTGAGTGTTCGAGACAAGAAAAAACATTTTAAATTTCATTGTTAGATTATTATATGTCTTTTCTCAATATTTTTCTGCGAGAGGAGCACTTGTAAAGAGAAAACATGGTCATTTGAGCGCGATCTTGTCCGGCCACTCATTGTGTGACGAAGAGATATATCTCAACCAGTTAGGCCAAAATCAAACAAGAAGGAGGCATCTTTAGAAGAGGAACATTCCAAGCATGCTATCACCTAGGTCGCCACAGCAGAAGTGATTTCGTCTGGACTTTTTGTTCGAGAAGAGGGTGCCGGCTGCTAATCGATTGGAGAACGAAAATGGTGAAACAGCGAAAAATGTTAAAATCGTTCAAGAAAATGATGCGATTGATGTGCCCGTTAATAAGAGTAAGACTACATAAGTCGATCGCTCAGTTTTAGTAGATTTCAGCTGTCAAAATCGGATTATGCCATCCCGCACACTCTCAAGAAACACAGCGACGTTTCTAACGAATTTTTCCCTTTCGAGCCTTTTCTAATTCTAAACGTTTTTTCTTGAAGACAATGCCACTAACGTTGGAAGAACGGATCGCGCGTTTTGCATCAGTGAAGTTGTCGAGTGATCTATCTATGTTAAATCCTGGCCAACGGGAAGCTATACAAATGTTGGCCATAGCATGCAAATTAATGGACGACATTTATATTCGTCAAATGTGGTCGAAAAATGAAGAAATCATGAAAAAATTAGAAGAAAATAAAGAGAAAAGTGAACAAGATAATTTGCTATATCAATTGTCTCGGATGTATCGTTGTCCATGGGATCCATTGGAAAATAACGAACCGCTCATACCTTATGTTCCATCTTCTCCTCACGGCGCTAATTTTTATCCAGAGGATATGACTAAAGAAGAGTTCAAACAATCGATCTCAACATTATCAAAAGAAGATAAGTTAAAAGCCGAAGGGGTTCGATATTTAATCAGACGAAATACAAATACAAAACAACTTCAACTTATTCCGTATTCAGAAGCGTATCAGGATCTTCTTTCACCGATTGCCAACCTATTGGAAAAAGCAGCTGAGACTATTGGCGATGAATCATTAAAAAAGTTTCTAATGTTACGTGCGGAAAGCTTCAGAACCAATGACTATGTTGAAAGTGAACTAGCTTGGTTGGCCATAAAGACCGACAGTCTAATAGAAGGTAAGACAGTATTTGCGTTGGATGGAACTTCTTTTTCTTTTATTGACCTTATTCGTCTCACTAGTGGTCTGTGGTCCATATATGTTTTATACCGATAAATTGTTTGGTTACAAATCAGCATTTGTCATGTATATTCACATTTGTGATCAACCGTCTACAGAAAAGTTGCACTTGTTCACTAATGCAATAGCCACCGTTGAAAATCAATTACCAATTCCTGATAAATATAAAAACAAGAATTTAAAGAGATCACCCATTATTGTTGTGAATGAAATTTATAACGGTGGTGATGTCGCATTACCGTGTCTGACTGCTTACAATCTGCCAACAGATTATGAAATTGAAAAACAAGCAGGATCGAAATTAACATTGATCAAAAACGTACAGGAAGGTAAATAGCAAAGGGAATAACTTTGCAGCCAGATTCTCAAGTCTCTGCTTGAGAACATGCTTGACAGAGGGATTTATTATTCGTCGTAATTCATTTGATGTGCGTTCTGTCTAGCTAAATTTAACAAAGTGCTTCGCCCCATTGCTGAAGTTATCTTAGACCCAGAACAACTGAAATTTGTGTCCTGGGATGCGTTCTTTATACATATTCTATTGCACGAAGTGTCGCATTCAAACGGACCACATGAAACGGTTGGCCCGAATCCTGTTCTCATCCAATCTCGTCTTCAGGAACATCATTCAGCTTTAGAAGAAGCTAAAGCAGGTAAGCAATGGCGTCTAAAGGACGTTCTATTCTGAAAAACAGACCGTGTTTCTTCCGTGAAGATGTCACTGGCCTGTTTGCGGCCGATTATTTTGTCAACAACGGTCAGATAAATGATATTTCCATGGAATCGTTTTATGTTACATATCTTGCAAATCAATTTCGTTTCATAAGACAAGGTCAAACCGCACATGCATTCGGTCAAAAACTGCAGCACAACTATCTATTAGATCATGGTGTAATTGAATACGACAATGCAACACAAAAATTTCGCGTTAATTTCGACCGTATACGTAACACAGTTGCAAGTCTGACGAATTTGATTATGATAATACAAGGAGATGGAGATAAAGATAAAGCAAAAGAGGCAATGGATAGTCTCGCGGTTACACGATCGTACACTGAAACTGCCTTGAAGAGGCTAACGAATGTGGCTTTTGATATTCCATTCTTACTATTAGATCGGTGTCATTCACATCGAATCATAACCCGCATCAATGATTTTGATTGATGTATACGAAATCTAATGATCAGAATTTCGGAGGATTAGGATCGTTTGACGTCGACATTACAAGATATGTCAAGAGTGACGAAAAAGCCATCTGAAGAGCGTCTTAAGTAAGGTTGAAAGGCTTCCTGGCGGCTTCAAAACAAGAACTATTTCTTATAGAACTTCTAAGTATACGACCATCGTAAGCATGCACATTGACTTTGTATGGAATATATCCATTGTCATCTACTCCACTTCCTCTTTCAGTTGTCATTAAATGTTTGAATTCTTTACTGATCAACTTATGTAATACTCCATGAATTTCGGAATTAGGATTTTCTTTAATATTCCCGAAGCATGGCTCAACTCCTGGAATGCCTCATAAATCAAAAGTCAATTGCCATCCTTCCAATACTCCTGAAATAGATTTCACTGGATGAATTTTTCGTCGGCCAGATAAAACATTAGGATGCATATTGGCACCATACGCGAAATTGTATACTACCTGTGACTTGATTAACACAGGCATAACTTTCAGGGTATTGATAGAAACTTTTTTCACATAATCCATCATCGATGTGCCATTGCAAATTGTTAGTGGTGAATTTGAACGGGATATTTTCATCGATTCAGGTTCGTAATTTACATGCGAACAACAGAGTGGTATCGAATAGAGTCGAATTTCATTCGAGTTTTCAACATTAGAGCTGATGAGAAGAGGAATGTATTACCTTGTTGTTTTGCAAAGCTTTAGCTAAATGTTTTGCTCCTTCATTACCGATTCTAGCTGTCTAAAGAAGTATGTGATTATCAACACGACTACCCTTTTAGCAATATAGCAAATCGGTATTAGAGTGTCGCTGCTTTTATTCAGAAGTAGAAGAAGAGGAATACTCCACTTTTCGGCTACGTTGCGATATGGGTGCTGCCCGGATGCAGTTTCGTAAGCCCGATATCTTCCCTACAACTACTACTAGCTGTAGCTCTGGACATAGGGCCAGCCGGACTCAGAGTCCTTTCGCTCAATTGTTTGAGCTTCCCATGCACACATGACTAACCACATACTAGCCACAAGGACCGGTGTATGCCACATGTAGTCAGCATGCTATCGGACGAGTGATCCGAGACAAACAGCCGTTAGTGACTTGTTCAGGGTCATTCCATGACTGGTGGCACCGAGATTTGAACACAGTAGCTTGTGCATACATGCCGAACAACGTAACCATTCAACGATGGCGGCTTCTATGTCTTTGAGACGATAAAATAGCTATCACGCAGTTTCGACAAAAACTCGAATATATGCTGAACGTAAACAGTCATAAAAAGAATTATCTGATTAGTAATTAACACCTACAAATGAAAAAAGTGAACAATACATTGACTAGGGGATCTATCCATTGCAATGCACGATTTCGAACCATTCGCTCATTGAAAAAACAACGATAGCGCACACAATGTGACTCCTTTATCATTCGTATCATACTGTTAACAAAACAATACTACATAATCGAAAGAAGAAAAAAAACGAGAAGTTGGAAAAAATATCGAAAGAAGGTAACGACGTATTTCCAATTATCATATGTGATGACAAGCGACATTCCTTCAGGTTTTTGTTTATCGTGTTGGAGGAGGCAGATAGCTTAGCATGATTCAAATCGGAACATGCTGGGAAATTTCTCAGTCAATGTTGACATCATGATTGATTATCGGTCTGGATGGTAGAGTCTAATGAAAATGAACTGATGATGAGAGACATATGTCCCGTGTACAATCAAACACAGTCAAACAGAGAAGATTATTATAGAAAGCAATTCTTCTGACTTCTGACAATGGTGTATAAACTTCATTGACGTATTCAGACTTCGGAGCTTGTTTGACATTGCCGAAAATGAAATGATCAAAAACAGATTTTGCATCAGTGACTTCGAACATTCCTCTAATCTACAGTCCGTTTTCGACTATGAAAAAGTGTTATTTATCAATTATATTTTGAATCAGTTTCTACTGAGAAAATTTTCTGTCGCTTCAATCATGATATACGACTCGACAAGTACCAAAGAATTCAATCGAATTATCTCGCCCATTGGGTCTCGAAAACAGCATTGAATGTCAGTTGTTTATAGTTGACTTTACAGGTGAATGTCTCACGTCGAAAGATTGACATCTGCACAATTGATGAGTCGTTATTTTTTGTGTGCACATAAAGAATGTATCTAGTGCAATTGCGATCGATTATTTCAGAAGTGAAATCTTTCCCTACATGGAATGTTGACTAGTTGGAAAAAAGATAACGAAATTTCTAGTACAAACTCTCAAATGCTCTGTATAAGACCATGTACACATTCTTCATTTGCATTCTTAAAACAATTACTCACTAACTGCGTATCGCAAAATGCGTAGTTGCAGCGCGACTTGATCCTTGGATCGGGTCCGATAGCGTATATATATATATTTATATATATATACGAGAGCTGCTAATGATAGAATTAATCAACTATAAACGAACAAACATTTATCATCTTTGCAAATGCATTCATCGATCATCTTGTTGCTTATTTTGGTTGCTCATTGTCAGGTATGCATCTTAGTGTGAGGGGTGTGAGGGTGAGAGTGTGGGATGTGAGGGGTGTGAATTAAATAAATAACGAATTAACAATGTAAATAACGACGAATATATAAATGGAAAACAAATAATAAAATAAATAGATAAATAAATATATTTTTTGAATAAATATGAGCTATATGAGTAAACTTTTGAGTAATATGAGAAAAATAAATAAATTCTGTTTTTGGTTTGGTTTTATGTTTTTATTTTAGTTTTTTTGTGTAAAATTTTATTTTATTTTAAAGAAATAGATAAGTGATTTTCATCACTATGAATAAAATTGGAGGAAAAGAGAAAAGATGTCCCCTCTATCTTTTAATTCATCTATTTATTCCTATATATATATAAGCAGTGGTGACAGATAAATGAAAAATTACGAGCAGTCATCCTATTCCGCGATGTTGAACATTGCGGAATCAGTTCCACCCAATTCCGGGAACTCCGTCATCACTCAGCAAAAGAGACATATTCGATATCGATGAGGTCTGTTCTGTACAATCATAATCGAGCTCCCGGAATTGGACGGATCAGTTCTGGGGCAAAATTGATTCCGCAATATTCAGCATCGCGGAATAGGATGCATTCTCATACGTCGATGTGTATATGTTATATTTTCTCTGTGTATTGATTGTCTAAAAGAACTTGCGGATGCTATTAATGACTCAAATCAATTTCAATGGGAACCTGTATATACACAGTTAAAAACTAAAGCATGGTGTCTTGGTTTTCAAACGATTGTTCATAAAAAT